TTTAGTCCCTCCCAGATAGCTTAAAAGGAGAAATCTTCCATCCCTTTCTAAAGGCAGATGGAGAAATTTATTTGATGGGCAGAAATGATGTGTGGAATCAGGGGGGACAGGAGATTATTTTTTTTTTCCCAACAAAGTGGGCCTTATTTGATGGGCAGAAATGATGTGTGGAATCAGGGGGGACAGGAGATTATTTTTTTTTTCCCAACAAAGTGGGCCGCTTGCCCACAGCTCTTCCCATTGCTTAAGAATAACCAGGAGGGATGAATGCTCAGAGCATTCAGGGTCACATTTATGGAATAGGCGGCTATAGAAATTGCCCGGCTAGGTAGGTAGCTAGGTGAGTGGGTGGGTGGATAGTGACAGATAGACAGATAGATATAGATAAATGGGAGAGAGACAGAGAGGGAGGGAGGGGGAGAGGGAGAGAGGGAGATAGAGAGAGATGGGGGGCAATGTGAGCCCTCAGACATTTTTTGGCTGAGGCCCAATTTATGGGTGGGCCTCCCCAGGAGGGAAATGTGGTTGCCAAAGGGTCTATAAACCTCTGAAGTCCAGAAGGTACCTTTTCCTGTCCAGATCAAGGGAAACAGGACCTTCCGAGATGGGGTTGTGTAAACAGGAGGCAAGAGAAGAAGAGCTGCTGCAGAGAGAGAGGAGCAGTTTTGGAAACTGAAAAGCTGGTAGAAGATGAAGGACAACTGAAAACAAGAAAGGGAAAAGCTAAGGAGTCTTCCAGAAGGGTGTAAGGAGTAAAAGTGCAGAAACGAAAGAAGCTGAAAGAGGCAGCGTAAAGGAGGAGAGCATCGAAGGGGCAAGCAGTGTGCGCACCCAGAGCGAAGACCTCTGGGAAGGGTGTGGAGCACCCAGGCCAGTGTTAAAGCTTGAGAGGTAGGAGGCACCTGGATAAGGAAATTTAAGGAACTCAGGCAGCTTAAGAAAAGGAAGGAAGGAGAAGAAAAGTAGAACTGGAACATCATTTGACGGCAGTGGCTGGGAGGACCTTTGCACAAGTTTGTCTGTTGCACCAGTTGTGACCCTACCTGGACCGGGAGGCTCTCCTTACAGTCACTCATGCTCTTGTCACCTCACGTCTGGACTACTGCAACGCGTTCTACATGGGGCTACCCTTGAAAAGTATTCGGAGACTACAGTTGGTCCAGAATGCAGCCGCGCGAGTGATAGTGGGTGTTCCTCGGTACACCCACGTTACACCTGTCCTCCGTGAGCTGCACTGGTTGCCTATTGGTCTCCGGGTCCAATTCAAGGTGTTGGTCATTACCTTTAAAGCCCTATATGGCTCAGGGCCAGGCTATTTGCGAGACCGCCTATTACCTCATAGTTCCCTTCGTCGGGTTAGATCCCACAGGGCTGGGCCTCCTTCAGGTCCCGTTGGCCAAGCAGTGCCATTTGGTGGGGCCACGGGGGAGGGCTTTCTCTGTGATGGCGCCCACACTTTGGAATCAGCTCCCCCCGGAGATTAGGACCACTCCCACCCTGTTGGTTTTCCGCAAGCTGCTTAAGACCTGGCTTTTCCGGCAGGCCTGGGGTTTATAAAATCTGACCCCTGGATGAATGTTATTGTATTGTTTGTTTGTCAAGTTATGTTGTGTTTTTATTGTAAACCACCCGGAGTCCTGCGGGAGTGGGGCGGTCTATAAATTTTAACAAATAAATAAATAAAAGGTTGAGGGGAGAAGTGGGGAGACTCCTCCCCTCCCCACAGCAAGAGCAAAGCGAAACCTCTTGACCCAAACAGGGGCACCTGAGAACACCCACAGAAACAGGGCATCTACAGACTATCATCAGAAAAGTCAAGATGGTGGCCAAAATGATGTATTAGAAGCTCTGCTTGTTGTTTATGTGTGGTCACACTGACACAGCTATCATCTTGATTTGAAGTGATGGAGCATCCACAACTTTGGGAGGCAAGCTATTCCAGTGATTAATTGTTCTCACTGTCAGGAAGTTTTCCTTAGTTCCATATTGGATCTCTCATTAATAATCTTTCACCCAATGCTTCTTGTCTTGTGCTATGGAGAATAAGTCGACCATCTCTTCTTTGAAGCAGCCTTTCAAGTATTGGAAGGCTGCCATTGTGTCACCCCAATCCTTCTCTTTGTTAGGTTAGACATACCTAGTTCCCTTAACCATTCATCATACAATGTAGCCTTCAAACCCCTTAACACCTTTGTTGTTTTGTATCGTGGTGACCAGAATTGGATGAAGTGTGGCCTCACTAGTACATTTCCTGTGGTACTATCATTTCCTGTGGTCTTGATGCTCTCCTTCTGTTCATGCAACCCAGGACTGCATTTTTGGGCAGCCTCAGCACACTGATGACTCATACTTATGTGGAGATCCACCAGGACAACTAGAGCCCTCTCATAGTTACTACAGTATTACTGCTGAGCCAGATACCACCTATTCTGTACCTGGGAATTTGATTTTTCCTACCTACACGCAAGATCTTTTTCACACCACTGAACTGCATTTTGTTGGATAGGCCCCACTGTTAAAGTCTGTCAAGATCCTTCTGAATCTTAAATCTATCTGCTGACTCTGCCAGCGGCTTCTTCCATTGCGCAGTTCACTGCCAGGCAAAACTTTTCTTCCGTTGATGGGACCTCTGGTTAAAAAAAAAAAAAGTAAGGAAGACCACAGCCTACTTCTTGGTAATTTAGAAAAATGTGGCATATCACAGTATCACCACCAGATGGATTCCCAATTGGCTGGAAACCCGCACTCAATGTCCCGTCCTTAATAGAACTAGGGGAAGCATGGAGAGGGGGTTCCTCAAGGTTCTTTTTTATGATTATAAGTTTTATTAGTTTTTTACACAAACATAAGTCATTCAATAGTTGGTAAACAGTGTGGTGTCTGGGTTACGTTTGTAAAAACAGTCCTTAACAATTAATTTCTATAGTCTGTATTTCATATATTAATTTTGTTTACTTTCAGCGCTGAGCAGGAAGCAGGATAAGAATGTGCTATGTTCCCAGGTTGTTTGACGTATTTTTATAGATAAATGCATAAGAAATGCTTGTGTAGATGTCAGAAGTATATTAGATGCGGGTGTAAATGTATGTGGGTTGGGCTTTTGAAGATGTCAAGTTGTGGGCTGGGAATCCAATTGATTTGTGGCAAATGTCAAATAGATCCTATGAGATAATGATAAGCACAAGTCAGAGAATTAATTGATCAAAGGCCAAGGGAGCTGACTGAGAAAGCAGAGGAGGACTGCAAGTTAAATGCAAATGGCCCACCTGCCAGAGCAAGTAACGGATTTGCATAAGTTGATGGAATGTTTACTAAAGATGGGGAAATAGATGAAGACAGTTTACGATGTGCAAATGTTTACAGAAAAAGCTGAAGGGAGGGTTGGGTATGTCAGGAGAAATATGAAAATAGGTTGTATGCAGTGGAAATGGGTTGCTTGGCAAAAGAAGGGAGAGGATCAAGAATCCGTGGGCAGGAAATGAAGACAGTTTGAAACAGGGATTGAAATGAGCAGCCCTAAAACAGGTTGGGCAACTGCAGCCCCTTTACGACCTGTGAACTTCAACTCCCAGAATTCCTGAGTCAACATAGCTGGTTCAGGAATTCTGGGAGTTGAAGTCCACAGAGGGCACAGTTGCCCACCTCTGCCTTAAAGGAAAGAAGTCCACTGAAGCGGCTGATAATATGGAGAGAATAAATGGTTGCGGCCGGATCCCACTGATGAGACTTTCCAAAAGGCGGGGGGGGGGGGGAGCACATGTTTAAAGAACAAATAGCAATGGATGGAGAATGGGTGGAAGTGGTGGAAGACAAGATGCTTTTCCAGGACAGAAAGACACGGAGAAAAGTGGAAGGGCTGCGGTGAATGAGAAAGCTATCCCCCATCTCAGGGGTAGGCAACCTTGGCTCTTTTATGACTCGTGGACTTCAACTCCCAGAATTCCTGAGCCAGCATTCCTGAGCCACCAGTGAAAAGGAAAACCGTCCCATCTCTCTGGTTTTGTGGGCCAATTGAAGGAAGGTGGCATTCAGGGCAGTGGTGCCCAGAGGCAGGCACCAGAAGTGATAAATTCTTGAAAAACCACAGCAGGTAAGGTTTTTAACAATTCTATTGAGAAAATATCCACAACACGCTAAATGAATCTCAGCACAAACCCTCTCCGAGGCCCAGCTGGCAGGTGCAACTAACCTGCCACGAGGTGTCTGAAAGACTGGCCCCATCCTCCACTGCCCCCGTCTCTCCCTGGAATCACCCGTGTTTAGAGGGGATCTTTTGAGACTAAAAGAAGTCAGAGACCCCGTGTGGCCCCCACCCTGCATCCTGAGCCAGAAGAGCCCAGAGGAGAAAGGCTTAGCAATGCGCTGGCACCACAAGTCTCCTCAGCCAGTTCAGCTTCAGCCTCTCTGTGTCTTTCCTGCTGGACGCGGTTGGTCTCTCAGAGGACCCGACGCAGCGGGCGGTTGTGAGTGAGCCAAGAAAAGCGCGGTTTCCCCACAGGCTTTGGCTCAGCCCGTTCAATACAGGTAGTCCTTGACTTACCACAGTTCATTTAGTGACTGTTCAAAGTTACAACAGCACTTATGTCCATTTTTCACAGTTACATCTGTTGCAGCATCTCCGCAACTCACTCAAATTCAGATGCGTGGCAACCGGTTCATATTTATGACGGTTGCGGTGTCCCGAGGTCACGCCATCCCCTTTTGAGAACTTCTGATATGCAAAGTCAATGGGGAAGCCAAGACTCACTTAACGACCGTTACTAACTTAACTCCAGCGATTCGTTTAACCATCATGAAACAGGGCAAAACTCACCTAACAAATGCCTCACTTAGCAACAGAAAGTTTGAGCTCAGCTGTGATGGTAAGAGGAGGACTATCTGTAATCCCTTTTCTACCCCCACACATTATGGACGTGCAGCCGTCACACAAAAGCATGGGATCGCCTGCAACAGGAAGGGATCCGTTTTTCTTCCATGCATCACCAAAAAGTCAGACTTACCAATCACCGTCAAGACCTCGTTCTCGATGTCCGCCTTGATGTGAATCCGGCCCCGGCGCTCGGTGTGGTCCGTCCCGCAGAGGCTCGGCACGTTCATCACGCAGCGCTTGTGCACGTTCATCATGCAAGCTGAGGCAGGGAGAGAAATGGTGTCAGAAGACAAGGCTGAGTCTTGCTAGCAATCCTCCGATGTCCGAAGGGCTGTCCCAGGGAAGCAGGCGTGGCCTCAGTCGCCAGAGTGCCCAAGGGCAGGACAGAAACCAACAGGGAGGAAATTTACACGAGATGCCCAAATTCAAAATAAGGAAGATTTTCTGACTCTCAGGGCTACTAAGCAGGGTAAAAGCCCCCTGGAGTCACTGGGGCTCCATCCACTCGAGTCAAGATGGGGTAGCCAAACATCTGGGATGATCTGAGGATTCCTGACCTGGACAGATCAGGGGATCAACTAGGTTTTCTATAAGACATACAAGATATCTGGGATTCTACCATGCTGTTTTGGCATGCTGGGAAAATGCTCTTTAAATCTGGAGGCCCCCAAAGGGCTATAGGTACGTCTTTCCATTGCACTTCCTTCTGTCTGTTTTTCCAAAATGTTTGCTTCCCAGGGAGATCTAAGAAGAAATACTATGGGGGTGGGGGAGGACAGGAGGCCCTACCCTCCCACATGCAGTTTACTCCCTATCGGACTGATATTTAAGAACATCACTACAGAGTAACTCCTCCTTCAAACATTAACTGGGGTTCTTCTCCCTGTGGAGCCTCTAGGACTTCCTAAAAGCCTGGGATATTCCAGGGGTGCAGCCTTCCTCTCCCCCAGCCTGTTCTCAGGATTCTGAATGCCTCTCCCAAGGACCTTCGGCTCCAATGGAAACAGGAAGTACTAGAAAAAATGCAGCGCCTGTATTTTCTGCGCCGCATGAGAAAAGCACATCTTCCTTCCCCTGTCGTGACCACTTTCTACAGGGGGACAATTGAGAGCATCCTGTCATACAGCATCACAGTCTGGTTTGGAGGCATCCCTGCTTCAGACAGGAAGGCGGGGCAGAGAGTGGTGAGAATGGCCGAAAAGATTGTGGGCAGCTCCCTCCCTCCCATCCAGGACATAGCACAGAAGTGTTGCTTGAGCAGGGTCTGTAAGATCATCTGGGACATTACACACCCTCTTCACAACCTGTTTTCCTTGTTACCTTCTGGGAGAAGGGGGCTTCATAGTATCCGAAGCAGAACATCCAGATTCAGCCAGAGTTTCATTCCCTACAGCATTAACCTTGTGAACTCTAAAACTTCCTCCTTATGTATTTAAGATGGACAGTGAATAGTATTTATATGTTACTTATATCTACCTACCTACCTACCTACCTACCTACCTACCTACCTACCTACCTATCTATCTATCTATCTATCTATGTTTGTTTTCTGAGGTTTTCGCGGGTGTTTGGTTATTCGGGTTTTCTCCCGCGTAAAATTGGAAGTGTCTTGGCGACATTTCGACAAAGTCCCATTCGTCATCTTCAGGCTGGTGTTTTCGGCTTCGTGCTTCAAGGAGCAATGTGTGGTCTTAGCTGTTTCTTCCTTTTAACTGCTAGTGGAGGTATGAACTGATTGGGTGGGAGCTTGGCTGTGTTCTGATTGGGTGGTGTGTTCTGATTGGTTAGGGGCTTGGCTGTGCTCTGATTGGATGGGGGGTTGGCTGTGCTCTGATGGGGGGCTGGCTGGCTGTGCTCTGTGCTCTATCTATCTATCTATCTATCTATCTATCTATCTATCTATATCTATCATCTATCTATCTCTCCCTGTCTGTCTGTCTGTCTGTCTGTCTGTCTGTCTGTCTGTCTGTCTGTCTGTCTATCTATCTATCTATCTATCTATCTATCTATCTATCTATCTATCTATCTATCTATCTATCTATCTATCTATCTAAAGCTCTAAGGAAGCGGTGATAGGAATCCTCAGACATGTATTTTTTTGCATTCCCTCAGCTACCATATGAGCCCAGAAAAAGATGCTGGTGCCCCTTCGGAAGCCTCCTTCCTGCCTGGGATCCAAATACCTGGAGGGAAACTTTGTTTGCTTCTTTGGACTCTGACACCTCAACTCATTCGGTAGGTGGCTGCAATTTGTAAGGGGGCCACTAGGGGGCACCCTAGGCTCATATTTTGTGATTGCTAGCCTACCTTTTCTGCATTGGGAGTTTTCAACTTGGAATCACAGAATCCAAGGGCTGGAAGGGACCTTGGAAGTCTTGTAGTAGTCCATCTCTGCCCAAGGCAGGAGTCTTTGTATCATTCTGGACCAGTGTTTCTCAACCTTGACCATTTTAAGGCATGTGGACTTTAACTCCCAGAATTCCACAGCCAGCAATGCTGGCTGTGGAATTCTGGGAGTTGAAGTCCACATGCCTTAAAATGGTCAAGCTTGAGAAACACTGTTCTGGACCAATGGCTGTCCAATCTTTTCTTGAAGACCTCCAGCGATGGAGCCCCCACAACTCAGGAGGCAAGCCATTCCAGCGACTGACGGTTCTCACGGACATGAAATTTCTCCTTAGTTCCAAGTTGGATCTGTCTTTCATGATCTTCCATACATGACTTCTTGTCCTGCTCCTAGGTGCTATGGAGAAGACCCATCTTCTCTATGAAGACCCCTCTTCTCCGTGACTGCTCTTCAAATGCTGTCACCCCTGGTACTTCTCTTTTTAGGCTAAACATACCTAGTTCCTGCAAATGTTCATCCTATGATTTAGCCTCCAGGCCCCTGATCATCTTTGTTGCTCTGCTCTTTCTAGAGGAGTAGTTCTCAACCTGTGGGTTGGGACCCCATTTGGGGTCGAACAACCATTTCACGGAGGTCACCAAACAAGTCTGTCCGCCATTTTTTCCCCCTTTTCTTTGGCCACGCCCCTGGCACCCGGTGATATATAAGTGGTTGGGGGTCACCACAACATGGGGAACTGTATTATGGGGTGGCAGCATTAGAAAGATTGAGAACCACTGTTCTAGAGCCTCCGCATCTTTTTTGTATAATGGTGACCGGAAATGGATGCAGTATTCCAAGTGTGGTCTCACCAGTGCAATATAAAGCGCTACTATCACTTCCCATGTTCCTGAGGCTATCCCTCTCTTGCAACAGTCTAGGACTGCACTGGCTTTTTGGCAGCTGCCACACCCTGCTGGCTCATACTTAAGCGGTGGTCCAATAGGACTCCTAGATTCCTCTCACAGTCACTGCTATTGAGCCAGGTACCACCTATTCTGTACCTGTACACTTGATTTTTCTTGTCTAAGTGTAAAACTTTACTTTTCTCACCACTCAACTGCATCTTTTTGGCTAGGGCCCAATATTCAAGTTTTGTCAAGATCCTTCTAAATCTTATCTTTTAAAGTCTGGGCTATTCCCCTTAGCTGGGTGTAGCCTGCCAATTTGATGAGTTCCTCTTCCATGTCCTCATCTAAATAATTTATGAGAAACTCTCTAAGGCAGTGGTTCTCAACCTGTGGGTCGGGACCCCATTTGGGGTCGAACGACCATTTCACGAGGGTCGCCAAACAACGCAGTCCGCCATTCCCCCCCCCCTTTTCCTTAGCTGTGCTACTCCCTCTTATTCTATTGGCTTTTGAAAGCCAATAGAAGAGACTCTCTTGAATAGAAACGGTGCTGCACCAGTTGAGTAGTCCTCGACTTACGACCGGTTGAGTAGTCCTCGACTTACGACCGGTTGGGGGTCACGGCATTAAAAAGGTTGAGAACCACTGCTCTAAGGATACTGGGCAACATGTAAATATGACTACCTGTTGAGTTGCAGAAGCCACCCCAGGGGGGGTGCTGCTCCAGCATAGTCAGTGATGGGACTCCCGGTAAGACAGTCTGTGGCTCTATGGGCAGGGAGACGCTTGCCACTCCTCAAAAGCATGGCAGTCCCTCAGGTAGCCATTCCAGAGGCAGGAAGCCTGAGCCCCAGGCTCTAGTCGCACCTTCTGGCTCTGATTCATGTCAAGGGATGAAGCTGGTCTGCAGGCTTTCTTCACCAAGTCTTAGGAAGAAGCTCTGAGGCTGCCAGGAGAAAGCACCTCTTGCCTTCCACAGCCCAGGTCTGACCCCCATGCACGGCTGTGCCCCTGTACAGTGCACCAATCAGGGATTAGCCAGCCCTGTGCAGCTGGGCTGGTGGCTGGTGGGCTGGTGGCATGATAGCCAAGCATTTCAGGGAGAGAGGAGTTAGGGCAGGGGGGCTCTGGAGGTTACCCCTCACCTTGATGCGCCTGGCAGCTTTGCCCCACACATTCAGTGCAGGAAGGAGAAGGCTGACACACCACGCGTATCTGCATAAAGGAATAGCAGGGGATTGTGAACCCAAAGACGCTTTTTCCAAAAGGCAACTGGACTTTCTTGGTTTTTTTTTCTCTTGAAAACATTTCACTTCTCATCCAAGAATCTCTTGGATAGAGAAATGAAACATCTTCAGAGGAAAAAAACCGAGAAAGTCCAGTTGCCTTTTGGAAAAAGCACCTTTGGCGCAACCATGACCTGGATGATTGAGAATCTCCATAGACATTATGAAAGGACAGAGAGACTCCTTGCCTGCAGCTGGTGAGAGACAAGACTGGCAGCTGGTTCCTTGCATTCACACACACACGCCCAACCTCGTCTGTTCCCTCCGAGGCACCAGCTCTATTCTCTGCTCATTTATCATTTTGCCAGTATGCCAGAGCTGCAGCTACCCGGCCCACAGCTCCCCCATGCAAGGAACCCCTCTTCCCATTTCTCCCACCTGCTCTGATATGCTCACAAGGACCCCTGCAAGAACAGGTGAATGGAGCAGGGCGTTTCCCTAGGACCAGACCTCAATGGCTGGGACTTACTGTCGCATTTCATCCCCTGGTGGATAAGTCCATACAACAAGGAGCCGCAGTGGTCGCAGAAAGTTGGGCTGGAATATGTGTGGATTTTGAACTTGTGCTTGCTCCGAGGGTCCTGGAGGAAAAGAGAATGGACAGGTCAGATCAGAGCCCCCTCAGCAGAGTCTCCCAGATCCACAAGCAGCTGCCTGCTGGTATGCAACATTACTATGGCGATTGCTGTTCATGTTGGAAGCCTGTGCTGCAGTTTTTCAATCGCTCTCATTTGTTTTGATGCAAAAAAGGTGGTTTTTCATTTATTTTTCCCGAAGACGGAGGCATATTCAGTGACCCTTGCATGGGTGCAATCTACTCTTTCTGGCTTCAGTTCCAGGATGTCTGGAGTCTCCCTGACTGACCCCACTTCCCTCCCAGAAGCAGCATCCCTTGCACCAGGAACTGTGGCCAGCAAAGGAGGTCTGCGGAGGGGGATTGAAAAGGCGCCCCTGTAACGCAATTCCAGTGTTCTCGGTGACTGAGCTCCAAAACACGGTTTGACGTAAATTGGAAAGCATCTTTAAAATGTGGGGGAAACTCTTTTTGCCATGGAAAAAAATGCTGGGGAAATATGAAAGCCCTGATCTTCAGGAAGATCTCCTGTGTGTTTTCATAATTCAAGGCACTTTCTCTGCAAAGTGGCCGTTCTTCCCAGGAGCCTGATGCAATGTCACACTAAAGCTGCTCTCTAAAAAAAACCTCCAGGGAGGAGGGGGCAAAAACAGGCCTCCCCAGACTCAGCCTTCACTCAGGGTTGCTGTCAGGAAGCAGCCACCGCCCCCAGCCTGTGGCCAATTTGGGGGACTCCACGCCTGTCTTCACATGAGCTGCATCAACTCAGCTCAAGGTCCACCCAGGAGACCCGCTTCTGTGAATGGGAGCGAAGGCAAGAAGCTGCTGCCCACCAAAGCCTAAACTTCTCTTCCATTTCAACACCATCCACATATTTCATTACTTGAAAAGCAAAACACCAGTGAAAAATCATTTCGTGCCTATTACAACACTTAATATTTAAGTCAAGTCTCTTCATTTCAGTCGTTGACCAGCATTTAACCTTGAAGAATCTAAAATTTTACCAGGCAAAATGTTTATAAGGAAGGTGAAAGACAAAAATCTCACATCCATCACTTCATTAAGCACTTCCTTAACAAGGACAGTGATTTGGGCTGAGGCCCTCTGATCCAACAGGCACCAGACTATGGCTTATCAATCTTCTCCCAATCTGCTGCCTCCCAAACGCTTTGGTCTACAATTCCCATCTCCCGTGTTTTAGTTCCAATATTTGGCGCACATGAGCCCAGAAAGACATCCTACCTGTTCCTTCTTACAGTCAGATTTTATATGACCTGATAAAAAAGGCCTGAGGCACAAGAGAGAAGCAACAGAGGGAAGTGATTCAGCAAGAAGAGGCCACCTCAAAGCCTTATGACAAGTGAATGATCAGTGCAGGCGATTATTAGCAAAAGTATCTTCAGGATAAGGTTCATCAAGGTTTCTCTCTAGTTCCTATCAAGTGGATTGTGCCAGCACCCTGCTTGAGCCCACAGCAGAAACTCCACTGGAAGAGAGTGGACAGCCATTACTTTGGAATGGTCTAGGGCAGGGGTAGGCAACCTTGGTTCTTTTATGACTTGTGGACTTCAACTCCCAGAATTCCTGAGCCAGCCAAGGTTGTTTACCCCTGGTCTAGGGTCAAGCAGGGGATTGGATTGAAGACCTCCAAGGTCCCTTCCTACTCCGTTATGTTGTTATTCTGTTTATTTATGGAAGACGTTACTTCACAGAAATACAACCTCTCTAAGGAGGCTGTGAGGTGGAGCCAGTTTTATGGAAAGGGATGTGCTGATTGAGCAGAGCAGCATAAGAGTAGGCAGAGGTCAAGGCCAGGGGCTTTGCACTTGGGTGTCTGTCTGTCCCAACTCCTCTGCTCTGGGAACCAGAGGAAGTCGGTATGAGGAGAGCAGAGTGCAATCCTGGATCTGCTAGGATGTAGAGACGAGGGTCCAGAAACTGCCTGGAAGTGCAGTTCAATGCATGTCTACAAGCCTCCCACTGAGGGGGCTACATGGATTCCCCTGCCCCAATTCAAGGCTTCCTTGGTGGGAAGAATTGTCTGTCCTGGTTCTTGCAACATCAGCAGAAGGGAGGGGAGGGAAAGCAGGTGTCAGAATCCAATTATATTTCATTTCTAGTTATCGACTATGGAAAACCCCATTTCTGCCCTCTCTGGATTCTGTCATACTACGAAGGGGAAGGGGGATGAGCAAAGGGGTTTTATGGCTCTCACTTCCTTCATTAAAGTTCAAAAGGACTGGATGTGGATCTCACCAAGAGGACTGACCATAACAACATGGCCCATCAGCTTTCATCTACTATTCTCTGAAGTCTCCCGCCGTCAAGAGGAAAAGGGGGTGGAAATGTAACACCTGGAATTGTCGCTGGAAGGATGGTGGGGTGAGGGCTGCTTGGGAACACTTAAAACCTTGAATGGTAGGGGTTGGCCCCTCAGGTCCTGTCTAGAATGCCTGCAACCATCTTCTCTTAATAAAGATGCCTGTTGCAAGAGATATTCCAAGAGTTCTGTCTTCTTAAGATGTAAAGTGGGGTGGGTCCTTACAGCAGGCCGCAGCTCTAAGGCTTTATGAGAAAATGAGATTTTGAAGTGGGATTAGCTTGACGGCTAAGAGGCACTTGGAGTGATGGGACCGAACCCCAGGGCCTTCTTGCCAACGAGTCTGGGCCGACGTAATCAGGTTAGCAAACCTTCCAACCTTGGGGAGATGGAGCTCTAATAGAATTTCACTTTCTCAAACTGCTGAACGGTGATTCTTTCAGCAGCAGCTTTAGCAAAGTTAATTGCTTCAAATTCTACAGCATCTTCAGTCTAAAGCAACCTTGCCTCCAATTCATTAATGTTCCAGATGCTCCTTTGAACGGCTGGGCTGACAACTGAGTAATGAGAAGCCAGGAAAAAAAATGGGGGTTAACAACAATTAACCTCTTTTCAGCAACCATCAGACAGAGTCTAAATCACTAATTAAGCTACAGTATTCAGAGAAACATCTCTGCTTCCAGGAAGATGACAGCCTTTTAAGAGGGCAAGCAGCGCCCAGTGGAAGATCAAGAGTCAAGTTTATGTTGGGCTCCTTCACCCTTCTAGGCTTCTTGTAAAGAAGGTGAACCAGATGGATGTAGTCTTGCTCTAGGAGGCATTTCAGGTGAAGCCTTAGTAAGACTACACTTGGAATACTGCATCCAGCTTTGGTCACCATATTATAAAAAAGATGTTGGGACTCTGGAAAGAGTGCAGAAAAGAGCAACAAAGATCATTAAGGGGCTGGAGGCTAAAACACATAAAGAACTGTTGCAGGAATTGGGTTTGTCTATAGTGAAAAGAAGGACCAGGGATGACATGATAGCAGTCTTCCAATATTGAAGGACTCCTACAAAGATGAGGAGGTCAAACTACTTTCCAAAGCACCAAAAAGCAAAATGAGAAACAATGGATGAAAACTAACCAAAAAGAGAAGCAACCTAAAACTAAGGAGAATTTTCCTAACAGTAAGAACAATTAATCAGTGGAACAGCTGGCCTTCAGAAGTTGTGGATGCTCCATCACTAATCACTGGAGGCTTTTAAAAAGAGACTGGACAGCCACTTTCTGGAATGGTATAGGGTCTCCTGCTTGAGCAGGGCGTTGGGCTAGAAGACCTCCAAGGTCCCCTCCAACACTGTTATTCTGTTAAATACAGTCCAGCAAATGGATAGCAACCAGCAACGCCACCTGATCAAGAGGCCAAGGTCTTTGCTGGCCCAGAGCCTCCATCTCCCAGTAACAAAGTGTGAGGAGATGCCCTAGTCTGGGCTGTGTAAAAAAGCTAGTAACTATCTAGGTATCCAATGAGCAACCACCTCCACTGCACCAGAGGAAGGACTTGTAGCATAGTTTGGGACCTACATCTCTGTCTTTAACACTGCCCGCCCCTAAGCCCTGTTGATAACAGAGTCAGAGACTGTGGTTTGGAAGAACAAACTAGGAATATTTTAAAGCATGTTCCAATAAAATGTATTTGTTCACTACCCTTCAAAGCAAAGATTCCCTGGGGCAGCTTACAACAATAAATTTGGGAATGACAACTATAGTAATAAAAGTATAATATATAAGTCAGAAAGGCACAAAATACCCAGGGCCCCTTTGAACATCCTGTCCTCAGTGCTGGGAAAAGTGCAGAGAATGGCTGCTTTGCCTGTCCAACCATACATGGGGCTCCAAGGACTGCAGGAACACAGCCTTTCTTGGCTTCCAACAGGCTGTTTTGTTATGGGGTGATAGAAGATGCATCAAGGACAAATAAGTTGCTCTCAGCAGCAGAAATACCCCCAGGGTGTCCTTGTTCATTTGTCAAAGATAGAGCCACAAGTTGCTGAATCCCAGCAGAAATGAAAGAAGGGTTGGCTTGTATCTTACAAAAAGGAAAGATCAATTACGGACCCAGGAAACTACAGACCAATCAGTTTAACATCAATACCTGGGAAGATCCTAGAAAAGATAATCAAAAAAGAGATTTGCAAACAACTAGAAGCAAACAAAGTTATAACCAGTAGCCAGCATGGGTTTGTTAAAAACAGATCATGCCAAACCAATTTTATTTCATTAACTCAAGATTTAAACTGTAACATTTCTTTAAGCCTTCAAAGACCCACTGTGATGACATCAGGGACTCTCAGGGGTCTGTGGGCCACAGGTTGAGAACCACTGCCCTAATCAATCCCTTCATGATTGGGAGACCACTATCAGGTCTCCCCTGAGCCTTAACTAAAGATATCGAGTTCTTTGAACAGTTCCACATAGGATTCAGCCTTCAACCCTTTGCTCTGTACGAGTTTCTTTTTTTAATAGAATTATGATTAAAGATTTTTACATGAGTAAAAGATACATATATAAAGGAAAGTTAGGAAAAAGCAAAAAGATAAAAGGTGTGAGAGACAATACACAAAAAGAAAGGAAAAGTTGCTTAAAGAAGTGACTTCTGATCTTCTTTACGGCAATTACTTATTATCCTGCCTCCCTCTTTAAGA